ACGATGACAAAATGCAACAAAACTCCGAAAATTTGGCTTGAGGAGTCACCAAAAAATGCAGCATTGTTTGTTTACTACTTGGATATTCAGACGTTGGAAGGGGCGCTGAGACTTTGACACACCTTTGTACCTTTTTTATGCAATATGATTTGACTATTTGTTTATACCTTAATGGGCGCATGTTTTCCGAACATGACCCCGGGTTTTTGACACAAGAAAGTGACGCACTTAAATTCTTTGTTTATCATCAAAGCATGATGGCCTGATTGTGAGGTTGAAGATTGGGTCACTGCAACCTGATTTATGTAAACATTAATCTTTTAAGAAAAGAACATTTCAACGACTTGCATCCACAAGGCAAATAGGCTTTTCAGGCCTGAGTGCTCGCGAGTGGCTAACTTAAAGGCCCACCTCACCTCCACTCGCGGGCACTCATTGCCTCCATCATTCGAAACTTTATGGCGCCTTTTATTGCATCTTTGAGGCTTGAATTTTGATGTTGTTGGCAAACCGCTGAAGTGAAAGCTTAAGCATCTCAAGCCTTCCTAGAAGTCGGAAAAGTTATTTAACTTGGGCATAATTTGTGATGGCACCACTCGAATGCATCACAAAGCTTCCAGTATTGGCTTCCTACACATCGAACGTTGAACATGTCATCTTAAGTCTAAGTAAACTAATAAATAATCGTACTGCGGATGGTACTCCACTGTCCTGGGATTATTCCATCAGGATCCCCTATTAGCTCTGTACTCAACTTGTCCTCCGTCACATGTTCTTAGAACTTAGTTCCGTAAGCCTTATGGCTTGGTCTGGCGTGTAAAAATTCGCTTTCCGGAAAAATGTGAATTGAGCAAAGGCGGGAATCAGATTTTTAAATCGCCTTAGCTGATTGGGCGAGCGCCAACCAATCAGCAAAGAGAGGCAAATGGAAATCAGCGAAACGTTTTGGGGCTCCTACGCATTACCGCAGGCTGGCGGATGGCCAACAATCTCGAGCTAGAAATAGTACAAAGGCCTGTCTTCTCCCTAAATGCCACTGCGAAAGAAGAAATGCTATCACAAAGGAATTGCGTGATCCTACACGATGCAGTAAATGGAGGTTATCATTGCAATTATTTTTGAATTGTCTTGGTCCTTCCACCATTTTCGAGGATCCTCTTTTCATGGCTTTTTTGAATCCTAGAACGGAAGGACAAACGTTGCTATAGCTACTGTTTCTCAGATCACCTCTTCCAATAGAGGCCGATACAAAATCACAAATGTTTAGATCATCCTTTGATCTATTCACTCAAGAGCCTCCCAGACACTCATAATCGAGAGTAAATAATGTGATGGCTACAAATTGTTCTAGAGTTTGCGAAGCCTAAAGGAAGGATTGTGTATGTTTACAACTTGGCCGGAAGGATTTTGGCGATCCATAAAAGAATAACAAAAATTTTACACTTTTGTCTATGTCAACTTCCTGTGAATGTTAGACACAAAGTCGTCTCTGCAAGGGTCTTTGATTCAACGCTATTTCTTAAATGTATTTAAGCTAGACTGCTTACGGTGAACAAGGGATGTAGGAAGTGTTTAACACCCATCCGCCTCATTCAGGACAAAACTTCAGACCATTTGGAACAGTCCAGAGGTCCACTTTATTCGCACATGCCGAAGTTCTTGGTGCTAGACGAGACCGTACGGTAGAAGGTCGACCAAGGGAATTTGACCAAGGGACGTGGAGGAGCGCCGTCGTTGTACCCACATCGAGCAGGCTAACGAGCTTATAGTCTAACCACTTTATTGACCAGAAATACACATTCTTTCCTCCCTTTATTAATTCCTTTTGCCTACAGGAAAGTCTCACCACTTCAATCAAATGTCGCATTTGCCTCACTTATTTGAGTGTTCCTACAAGTAATTGACACAAACATCTATCATACGCCTCTCAAGCCTTAGCATTATGGAGAAGGGGAAGTGTTTGCACAAATGCGTCTCCTTTCACTCGAAAATCGCCGCCTTTAGGGATAAACAATGCGAATGAAGACGTCAACACATAAATCGTATGATATGAGGCAGGCCAACCTATCATTGTTGCTGTAAACATTGTCTTCAAGGGAGGCATTAATTATGTGATGTCAGCGATGGTCCCTGGTTAGCCACAAAAATGAGACGAACCACACCTGTCGGTTTTGGTGTACACAACTGTCCGATCACAGGGCTTTTGATGACGGTAATGCCAAAAATCCATCCACACCCTGTAAATAATAAACCTGTTGTATTTCAAAGGTGATGGAATAGCTAAACAAACAAAAAGCTTGATGCATTGATCTTGAAGGCAAACATTCACCTTAGTCTGCTCATCGGGAGGGGATAATAGTGGTTTGTGTCTTCCATTGGCCATCCCTTCAAGGCCTGGGCTTGAGACTTCAACTTCTTCCAAACAGGTATGAGTGAAAAGTTGAAGGTTCTCGATTACCATTGCCATCCTCTTCTTGAGGCGATGCTCAATATGTGGCTCTGTTGTGCCTCCGGGACACTTTAACTCGTTGCATTTGCGTCTCGCAGTGCTAACAGAGACGACTTGAGGATCTCGTCTGGGGCGATTTTGTTAGTAGACAAGCGATTGATACCACTTGGGAATGGCGGAACCGTAATGAGGAGTGCAAGGACCAGATTCTTGGAATCGTACAGTCTCACAACTTGACTAGGTTGGTCCTTTGAACAAGTGTCCCGCTGAGCATTGACGACTGTAGACGAACACAGCGACAATGGAGCCTCCCAACCTCAAATCTCAACAACTGAGACGCATTAAACTTATCTGTAACGGTGGGACCGCCTTCGGTAAAGCAAATGACTACTGATTTTCAACTAGAAGGCGAGACGGGCACGAAAGGGATCGGTGAGGTAAAAACCACGGATTTGGGGACTAAGTGTATGAAAAAGCGGTCAAAAAGCCTCTCACTTTTACGCAGCAGTCCTCCGTCTACCGTTGCTAAATCACCCCTCCTAACGCTGCAGCCCACAAAATCCTTACAGACAACTCAGAACAGTAGATTCCACTCACTTCCATGACTTTCTGTTTAAGTACAACTAAAATTGAGCCAAATAATTTTCTATTTCGTCCTAAATACGCACTTCTACGACCCCCAAAGTCTGCAGTCTAAAAAATGGTGACTTTCGTGTCAATCAGCCTTTATTTGTTGATTAAAAACGTGTTCCATTTGACAGGTTAGTCAGCTTCACTCTTAAGGGTTTTGATATACTCAGCCAGCCTCGCTCTGACTTTGCTTCTGGCTAAAATGTAAAAAAAAAGGAAAAATTTTATTAGTTATCCTTTGACAAAATTACAAAATCTCACCTTCCAACATTGATTCTTTCCAGCTCTTGGCAAATTTAACTATTTTAATCCCCAATGGATCTTCAGTGAAGAATTTGTATATGCATTCCATTGCCTTCTTGGCACTTTTCGCTATCGCTTCACTGTTGTCATCCCTAAACAGGTACAAAAGAGAGCAGTTTTGTAGACAAGTTATGCAAAGATATGATACGGTCATTTAGAAAGAGGCGCCTACTCAGCCGAGACCGTCAACACGAAAACGGAGAGAGCCAAAAGCACAATGTAGGCGCGCATTTCAGAGGCTGTCCAACTTCACTTGTAATCAGTATTGCCTTTTATATAACCGCCAGTTGGTGGTGTTTATCAATGCCTTTTCGGACAAAGTGACCTCTGTGAGGGCTTCGTGATTGGCTGGTTTGTTGCCTGTCAACGGTATTGCAGCTACCGACTTGTCGGTGTGTCATAGGGATGTGGAAAGGGAGTCTCTTTATGGTGCATGTCTTATGGGATACTCTCGATCTTGAGGGGTGTTTACATGTCCTGCATCAATTGTCCGTAGCTCAGATTGGGTTTTCGCTCTCCTCAGCAACGATGGCAATCATTCTTTTAGTTTTTTTCCATGAAAAAAGAAGTAAGGAAATGGTAAAAGGGTCCAGCCAGTGGTCAAAACACCGCCTGCGAGTTTCGCTGCAAGTCTTTGCACTTCCACGTTGTTGAGGTTATTTGAGGTCAATTGATGTGGCATTGACTTGATTGTCGAAGGGGACAACCTTGGACAAAAAATAACCCTTTGATAGAGATTGGTGAAATAAGATTTAGAAGGAGAATTTTAATACTGGGCGAAGAGCCGTGGATCACTTTCAATCTTTTTTTCTTTCCTACTTCCGCATTTGGAGTGGAATCTTTAGAAGCGCCTTGCTTTTGACGACGCTGAAGCCTCTTTCACATTCGCTAGACGTGATCCGAGTCCGTCTGTTGTGCAGCAAGAGTTGTAGAGGCCGGATTGTAGTAAAGCGTGTGCTACTTTGCAAGGAGGTGCAGTTCACTCACAAGATATGATCTACATGTATGTGAATAGGAAGTGGATGACGAGAAGGAGGACACTGCAGTCTTAGCGATGCGAAATTATGTCGTACTGCAATGGTGGGTGGTGTGTGAGGAGGCCAAATTTTCCCACGCGTCGGGGCGATGAGATGTGTAAGGGGACTGTTAACAGGCTGAACGACGAATCAGTCTACAGACCGGCTAATCTCACCGATTCACTAGCGGACTCGTGTCTTTTAAAGCCAATTAGGCCAGAGCGGCAGAGGGACGTCAAGCTTTAGGTCGCTTGTACATGCAAACATTGCTCTGCTTAAGGACACCACCAGTGAAAGAGGTGCTGTTTCGTCCACAAAATGTGATCGGCTATTCTTTCACAGCGACATAAATGGCCATGAGGTGTCTCACTGCCGTTTTAGTGAGAACGTAACCAACAATAGCTAACACAGATGGACTCAAAACACCAAAATTTGCGTTCTTGAACCCTTCCAGTCTTCTGCAAATATAACTAAACTGGAGTGGTACGAGGAGTTCCCATCGACGCCTAAGTTACCACCGTTCCAACTTCTCAGAATTTTTCGATGTAGGAGCTGTTGAAAGTAACCGCTCTTGCAGTTAGAAGTATAGGGAAATTACCTAATGGCTTTGGACGTCAGCATCGAAAAGGGCGGCTAGGCTTGAAGAATGATTCTACAACATTTTAAAGCTTAAACTCGGGTTTTGCAATATTTTATGATTGCAATTTTACCAAAATACATTAGACAGCATTTACCACGTCAGAAGTGATTTATGTTTAAGGTGCCGGAAGTCAATCTAGTACATGTAAACAATGCATCCACTGCATGCCTATAAATGCAGCATCGGTGGCCACAGCCACTCCGTCTCAACAACCACCTCCTACAAACCCATTGACATGCGAGTCGCCATCATCGCTCTCCTCGCCCTTCTCGCCGTCGTCGCCGTCTCTGCTGA